TTTATTTCATGTATCTCATGCAAAAATAAAAGTATACATAAAAGCCATTTAAAAAGTTGCAAAAAATAAATAACGAAGGCATGATAAAAAGTTTACAATACCGTTTTACCATGTTTAATATAATAATAATAATAAAGGTATATAAAAAAATCCCCGAACAAAAAGTACCCAAAGTTGATATTTATGCAAAAACACTATCATTGTATTTCTGAAATAGTTCTTACACTTTAGTTTTACACAGTTTTTACACTAAACACTTTCTTTTCACTTTGTGGTTTTTGTGTGCATGTCTGTCGGATGATTGGCTCTCATAGAAAGAATGCATTCCTAGCCAAAAATGGAGGTCGTCCTGGGGCCACTAAAGTGATGGTGGTGGTAACTGATGGAGAGTCACATGATGCAAATCTGAGGAACACAGTTATCCCGGCCTGCGAGAGCCAAAATATCACTCGCTTTGGTATTGCGGTTAGTGAGAGAAAATATATGCTGTCATGAATTCATATATGGGTCTTAATATTATATAATATATTTGAATGTTGTGAAGAAATGGATTTTTGCATGTTTTAGGTGCTTGGATATTACTTAAGGAATGACATTGACACAAGCAAACTCATCGCTGAGATTAAGTCAATAGCCAACAATCCAACCGAAAAATACTTTTTCAATGTGTCTGAGGAGGCGGCGCTCATAGAGATCGTCGGGACTCTTGGAGATCGAATCTTCAACATTGAAGGTCCGTGATTATGTCGATTTCACTCAAATAAAAGCCATTTTAAAAGTAATGTAATGGACATGGGTTTTTTTATCGACGTGTATTATGTCAATGACCGTTTTCTTTGCTCGTTTCACTAATGTGTTGTCTGTTTAGGTGTTGGAAAAGGTACTGGGGATAATTTCAAAATGGAAATGTCCCAAGTCGGATTCAGCGCACACCAGACCAGGAATAAGGTTCTGGCTCTATATGTCTAAGTGTTTCTATTAATGCTTTTTTAAGACCTTTTTCCTCCTGGTGGTTTACAGTACTCTGAATATTGGTTGTAGGATGTGATCTTACTGGGAGCAGCTGGAGCATATAATTGGATCGGGACCGTTGTGCACCAAACTGCTCAGAAATCAGATGTTTTGCCCAAAGCTGCTTTTGAGAAAGTCTTGGATGACAGAAACCACAGTTCATTACTTGGTAAGTATTGTACTTGGTTAGTTTT